TCTCTGATATGTGGGGCCGTATGCTTTGATTCATAACTAATGCTATCTGAAATACTGGTAGACGTACAGTTATGCGTTGGGTATGCCGCTAAGCATATTTAGAGATGTGAATAACAGATACAGGATCTGTCCCTTCTACTGTATAGAAGTATAATGTCAATGGGCCCACTGAATAGTAGGACTTGGGAAAGTGCATGGCCATGCCCAGATATGTCGCTATCTAGAGACTGATAAATATCTGATCCCTGCCAGTCTACTTGAGATTCAGTAACAGCTGATTTAACTATACAAGGATACACATCCCATGCCTTGTGTTAAATCATGACATATAGGACAGAAGGATAATAGTTATAGAACGTCTTGTGTCGTAGAAGGTATTGATGAGATGAACGTCTTTTTCATAATCTGGGGATAATAATGTGTTGCTAGATACCGCTTATTATCTATGGTATTAATTTATATTAATATCATTGCCAGTGTTATGGATACCCAAAGGGTCACACACTTAGGACTTGTAAGGGAGTAGTATACTACACTAGTGGGAGTAATATTAAATATATAGTTGTGATAATTTTATATATATATATGTATTTCGAAAATACATATGTATTTTAAAATTATATTTTGTTTGTGTCATTTTAATTATATGATAATTATATTTTGACAAAACAAATTTTTATTATATATATATATGTAGCGCCGAATGTGTATATATATATATATTATTTTATTTTTCATAATTTTAATTATATGATAATTATTGATGTCAAAATAAAATATGATATATTATAAATTTGAAATGGCCGAAAATTTCAAGAGAAAGATACAAAACATATTTTGATTTTTTAGCTAATGATATATTTGATTTATATAATCAAATATTTGATTAGTAAAGAATATTTGTATTGTTGTGTTGGTTGGGAACAATACATTAAGCCAAATTTGTTTTTGTCCCTAAGCAATTTCCTAGCAATTCCTTAATCCAATATATTATAAAATGAGAAATATCCCTCCCCATTTTCTAGTATAAGTTTTGGCCATCACAAGAAAGAGAGTAGAAAAATCCTATTTTGTGTTCAAAGTTATTTTTCTAAAGTGTTAGAAATATGCACAAGATATTATAAAGAAATATTTATAAGATAAATATTTTACTATATATTTATTACTCCCAAAGTAGTATTATTATAGTTTTTACTATCCTAAATTAAACTTGCTAGCACAAGTTTAATCTAGGGCTCCGGAGCAAGTTCGTGTGGATACGTTGGAGGCTTCATACGTTTGGCGCTACGTTCATCTCCTCAAAACCATCCCCGACCGTTCCTCCGTTCTCCGTTTTCACCGTTAAGGTAAATTTCTTACTATAGCTAGTAATTTACGTAAGTTGTTCTTGGGTGGAATC